CGGTTCATGACACCTTGCTAGGTTAATAGCGTAGTACTAAAATAATACTTAAGATATCGGTCCATGACACCTTGCTAGGTTAATAGCGTAGTACAAAATAATACTTAAGGTATCGGTCCATGACACCTTGCTAGGTTAATAGCGTAGTGCTAAAATAATAATTACGATATCAGTCCATGACACCTTGCTAGGTTAATAGCGTAGTGCTAAAATAATACTTAAGGTATCGGTCCATGACACCTTGCTAGGTTAATAGCGTAGTGCTAAAATAATAATTACGATATCAGTCCATGACACCTTGCTAGGTTAATAGCGTAGTGCTAAAATAATACTTACGATATCGGTCCATGACACCTTGCTAGGTTAATAGCGTAGTGCTAAAATAATAATTACGATATCAGTCCATGACACCTTGCTAGGTTAATAGCGTAGTGCTATAATACTTATGATATCGTTCCATGACACCTTGCTAAGTTAATAGCGTAGTGCTAAAATAATACTTACGATATCGGTCCATGACACCTTGCTAGGTCAATAGTGTAGTACTAAAATAATACTTACGATATCGTTCTATGACACCTTGCTAGGTTAATAGCGTAGTACAAAAATAATACTTACGATATCGTTCCATGACACCTTGCTAGGTTAATAGCGTAGTGCTAAAATAATACTTACGATATCGGTTCATGACACCTTGCTACGTTAATAGCGTAGTACTAAAATAATACTTAAGATATCGGTCCATGACACCTTGCTAGGTTAATAGCGTAGTACAAAAATAATACTTAAGGTATCGGTCCATGACACCTTGCTAGGTTAATAGCGTAGTACAAAAATAATACTTACCATATCGTTCCATGACACCTTGCTAGGTTAATAGCGTAGTACAAAAATAATACTTACGATATCGGTCCATGACACCTTGCTTCTAGAAGATTGCCCAGCATTGGTGACTTGTACTCATCACAAAGAAAATGGTAATAATCGACAAGTAACCGATAGTAACCATCTAACAGACTAATCAATGATTCCGCCTGCTCACTCTCCATTTCACAGGATCTCTAAAAATAACAAAACAATTTGTTATAAAAAGTATATATTGAAATCTGATTTTGATGAGATTTAAGTGTCTTACTTACAATTGGTTGTCCTTTACGCAAGTTAATTGTGACATCAATTTTACCATTCAATCTTGTATGAACTGCCATTACATCAGTTATATCACAGAAATCAAACGTTCTCACCAACTACAAAGAAATAATGTAAAAAATGTTAATATATCCTTGAAATACCAGCACATGTCAAAGGTCATGGGTGAAGCACTCATTTAAGATCAAAAGTTATGGGTGGGGCACTCATCTAAGCACAAATGAGAGTCAAATATTCTAGGTGCAGAATATGAATAGTCAAAGAACAAATAAAACATTGCAAAGGTCATGCAGAAATTCAGTTGTCTTAAAATTAGCTTACAACATTTTGTCCAAAATGTCAACTAGCATTTCTAATTATTTGCCATATTTTAGGTGCAAAACAGAAAATTTAACAGAAAAAATTTAGGCTCTTTGTCTGAAATGTTTGAAGAAATTTAGAACATTTTGAACCCAAAACAGAATCACAGTTCAAGAATGTACACGTAGAACACATATGCATTGCATAACAAAACATGACAACAATAATGTTTGAAGAATAAAAATTGAGATTTTATAAAAATTACCAGACACTAACAAATTCAAAGTACAATTTACAAAAGCACATATGCTACTAATAGAGTAAATACAGTATAGTGATGGAAAGTCTAAGATTCTAAACAACAACTATTTAATTTTAGATACAAGTACAGATTGAAACCATCTTAAAATGTAGTTATGCATGTTTGTAGAGTACATTCACCTTGGGATAGCTTTCTATAATTATTTAATATAACAGAAATAATTTTAATTTCAGTTTATTTTTTATTTGTATTTGTATTTAAATTCAAAACAGGAGGATGTGTGAAGGGGTTGTCTAAAAAAACCCGGAACCGGAACATGAAATTAAAAATATTTCGACATACAGGTTGTTGAATATAAGTAATATTGCATTATTGAACTTAACTTGTATATTATTAATATTATTTATTTTATTATAATCGCAATTTGTAAGTTGTGGGTACACTCATTCTAATAATGTGGATGAAATAATAGGCAGAAAGCGCATGTTTACGATGTTTCCGCTTGAGGCGCACTTCACGTCTTGGGTCGATGTGTTACACTTAAGTTCTGTGACGCCCTTGTTGCTTCAAAATATTTTTAATTTTACGTTCCGGTTCCGGTTCTAGTTCCAGGTTTTTTGGACAACCGTGTGAAGGTGCTCTCATACATGTAGTCTGATTTTCTTTTCTATACGAATTTAAACAAGGTGGCAACATTTCAGTTTGCATTGAATCTTGATTACTTCTTTATTGCAGTTGTTTATTATTAAATTTGCAATTCCATTTCTAACAGAATTCACTCAATGTAATTTGTTATTTCTACTGCTGACATTCAGAAACATGCAAAAAGAACAACAACATACTGTAGAATACTTTATTTTCGCTTGGAATTTATTTTTGCTATTTTCGCTGAAGCGATGATTCCGTGAAAATAAAATCCAGCGAATATACTTTTTTTTCTATATTTCACATTAAACTCATCAAAAATCAGTGAAAATAAATTCCATACAAAACGCCCAAAAAGCCTTTTCAGCGAAAATTAATTCCAGCAAAAATAAAGTATTCCACAGTAAATTAATTGTGTTGTCTTGTTTTGTTGTGGAATAAAGCAAATGTGTATCACATTGAGGTCATGCAGCGTTACTTCTATATTCACAGACTCAGATGGCTTAGTCTTTTCCACGAAACGAAACAAAGCGAAACCCTAACCCTAATCCCAATCTTAAATTTTGAACAACTTCAAACATCGCCACGTCACAGAAATAAATTTGTCGAGAATATTTAGTTTCCACCTCTTTTCCGCCTACTTTGCAGCTTGATTCATTTGTGTTGACATGACGTGACAGCCATTTTGGAATTGTTGAACAATGATGGCGCTATTCATTTCGTGTTTCA